GCGTCATTGGGCCAATGTCCAATTGTAGCATAACTGTTTCGAAAAGATGTTGGATCGGGCTCAGAAACTTTTAATAACTGTTGCTGTTGGTGTTTCAGATGTTTTTGCTGTTGCTGAATAACTTTGTTAGAATTACTATATTGAATTATTGGTAACACACTCCGCGTTTCGTGCGGTACAAAAAATGCTGACGCGTGGGGCACTTCAACGTTTAAGGCCTTATCCGTCGTCGATTCGTTTATGTGTTGTGCTATAGTTGATGTTTTTGACTTGTGTTGTTCTATTTCTACACACGGCAGCGGCAGCGAGCCAACACTAACGTCATCATTAGCATCAACATCATTATCATTGGCTTCCTCCTCATCGGAGACAAAACGATACGACGACAAATCAGACACTGAATCCATATACGAGCGATAAAAAGCTACGATGCCAGGCTGCTGCTGTTGATGCTCTTGTTCTTGTTCTCGTTCTTGCTCTTGCTCTTTCTCTGCGTATTGCTCTTGCTCTTTCAGCTGTCTTTCTCCGCAGCACCGTTCGCAGAAGATCCATGCCCGTGAGCTTTCTGAAGCATCTTCGTTTGCGCACGGAAGCTTTTTACGCACTCGATGCATCTGTTTCTGTTTCTGCATGTACGGATCGTAGTCCTCATTGTTATTGTTGTATTCCCCTGCCAGCTGCTGTCTTTTGTCCAATTGCTCTATGCATTGCGGCAATGATATATTTTTAATATTCATTAACTCCGACTGCTGGCTGTAACAATGATGTAATACCTGATGTAGCATTGGTTCAAACAATTCCAAATATCACTGCACTATTTTTGTTGTCATATTTATATCTGAAATGGAGAAACTATTAATGATCTAGAAATCTGGTTTATTTTTGTATACTCACTCAGTGCGCGCCGTGCTAAAATGTGTGCACAGCCTTTGTGTGGTTAAGGCCAAAATGAACAACTTTTATCTTCTCTGTGTCATGCACTCCGTAGTAAAAAATCTGCAAATAAAAATAAACAAACCAATCTCGATTTCTATATGCGAATCAAATAATTGCATGTACTACACAGAAAAGAATTTCAGAAAAGACGTCAATATATCTTAACATATCTAAAAACATGGATGTTACAATATAATTGTTCTCAGTAATTAGCCGAAACGGCCAAGTTGAAGGTTCGTCTATTAAAAGGTGAGCGAAATATTATTCTTCCTAAGTAGTATAATATCAATCGTAATAAGAGAACTAAAAACATACATGAAGTTCGATTTATTGAAATTGGCAAGAGTATTGAGGCCTCGACTTTCCTGAGCTGAAACAATGTTATTTCCTGACGTACTTTTCGAGATCAGTTTACTGGAATGCTATGGCATTCGTTTTATCTACAGCTTTATCTAAGTATTTTTTGAGTAAATAAATAATATTTTAAGAATTTAAATTGGACTTAACAAATATATGCCTATGCGCATATTTCAGATTAAGTATGTACATATGTATGATAACTGTAAACTGTATCCAAAATCTAACCTTTCTTATTGTATATGGATCAACATCAACAAACACGTACCCTCAAAATAATAGCTATAGTAATCCAATATGCAGTGACAAGAATTCTTCCCTTGAATTTGCGATTTGAACGAAATCTGATCTCCCAACCCAAGTACAGATCGGTTGAATAGTTTACAAAAGTTTTAAAATACCTTTTACTCTAGTGGGTATAATGAAGATCAATAAGAATACTCTGCAGTATTGTTTTCTACACATGTATGTATATCATTTGAATATGTATGTATGTACGTATGAGTCGTGAATGAATAGATTTATTTGTTGTTATGCCATCAATATACCAAATCGTGTAGTAATCATGCTCTAAACTATAGTCTTTGTTTTCAAACCTATCACAAAAGGAGACCAATTGCGAGATTTTGTGATTCATTTCTATTAATACACATTTCAGTTGACCTTTGATCTTTGTTATTTGACATTTACAATGCTATGGGTCAATTATTTCCTTATAATAAATACTTATTTGGAATATAGCTAAATTAGTTTTATAGTAATCTTTATATTATTCCAGTTTGATTCAGATTTATATAATTTTAGTGCGTGAATTTACATACAATGTCAAGATCATAAGCAATCCTCAAGTACTATTGTATATTCACGCAAAGTAACAGCTAACAAGACTGTTTATCGCGTGCTTATTATTTATTTACCTTTTTTATCTCTTTTTTTTTTAGTTTCAATAACATTTACTTCAGATAGCATTACAGAGGAAATAGTTTTTGTTTGCCATAAAGCCACTGAAAATGGGAATTCGGGGCATAATATGTAGGTAAGACGCGAAATTAAGCCGTGCCAGTTACAATGAAGTTTATATATAAATAGGAATTAATAGACGACGTAATCCATCCGTTTGTATATACGCATCGATGTCGGCACTTATAAGAAATAAAGCTTTGCAAATTTGTCTAGACTCTAGACCCTACTATATGAGATACTATAGAACATTTTTCAATTCATTTTTTTAAGGTAATCGATAGCACTTACGTATTTCTAGAAAATCGATTTAAAACGATTTTTAATTAATTTCAGAAATTAGAAAAACTTATTTCTGGAATCAAATTAACCACTTCTTGAAACATTAAAGTTATTCATTAGGGTTATTTATGAATTCTTCTTCTTGAAGTATTAAAGTTAGGCGTTACGATTATTTATAATCATATATCTAATATTGATAATTCAATTAATTGCTAAGCTAACTCGAGTACTTCAAGGTAGTCGGAAATAGTTTGTATAACGTTATATGTATAAGAGACATCATACATACATATATACAATTAAAACAAAAAAAAAAAACTTCCATTCACAATAAAAGGCGTTTATCCAAATACTTCACTCAATTATTTGGCATCTTACCTTTGCATTTTTACATATATAAAGAAAACCTTAATCAGAAGTGGACGCCCGACGAACAAAGTTTTGTAATATCAATATAAAAAGCGAAAGTTTGCCGCAGCTAAAGTGAGCGCACAGCCTCGGTAAAGAGCATCTTCAAAATACAATCATACTGCGTTTATAGTGCAGCTGTATGTATGTATGTATATTCAGGTATTTTACTTCTTGGTTGAAGTTAGGTGAGCATTTGTATGACTGCAAAAGCTGCTTTTCATGTTGTTTTCTTTCTTTCGCAGCCTTTTTTTTGTGTTTTTGGTAAATGAAAGCAATACGAAATAACTGGATTGTTATAGTCTGAAAATTATGATTATTCTGGTGGCTTATGATCATAAACAAAAGAACACCTTTTCATCACATTGCTAACAGAAAACTATGAATTTAAATTAAATTAAATACTTTCATCAAGAATTGAACAAAATATAGCAAATTTGCATGTGGACATGCGACCTATATTATAACTACAAAGCCTTGTCCGCGCAAACCTAATTTTAGTTGCTACAAAGAATTTATTCCGATCCATACCCAATAATAATCAGGCGAGTAAGTATTTTAAACAATAATTAAAGTAAAAAAATTAAACACATCCTCGTTTTTTAATTTTCACAGAGATTACACTAACCGTGTATTGCAATATAGCGAAATTCGAAAACTACGAATCCAAAACAAGCAATTTTAATTTAATGATATTCACTCCGCAACAACTACCGAGTATGACCGTTGCTGTTCGCGTTCGATTGCACTCTATCAATTGCAGTCTAGCTCATTTTAAAGCACTTAGTGCTTAAACCTATCGATAGTTTGATAAGCTTATAAGAAGATCCAATTAAATTGTAGCCAAAATTAAATTTCAAATAATTTATATTACACTTACTGAAAATTTGTTTTCTTTATTAATATCAAAATTAAAAGGCGTTGAGCTTTAAATTGTGATCTGTAAGAATGGGTTGTTTTCCGTTGCGTAAAACAAGTTTGACTGTCTGTATTTAAATTTAATGATATTGGCGTTTTGTTGTCATTCGAGTAAATAACAGTCTGTTAATAAAAGCCATGTTACAGTTAATCGGTGCCTTTTTGAGTAATGTTACTATAACATAAATACCAAATATGTTAACTTAACAGGGTGGTTCCAAATTTTGAAATTTTCGTACACTTTGAAAATAACAAATGTCAGCTCTTTTTTACAAAAGTAAAATTAAAGTAAAATTTTCATCTATAACTTTTTTAATAGTAAAACTATTAAAGCTGCTCTGCCTAACTATTAAAATGGTTTCATAATCCTAGGGCCCTTGTAACATTTTCTATGTGGTGTTGAGTTTTGGTGTTTATATGTTTATATGTTGACTTTTTTTCAGTAAAAAGCAGTTAAATTGCCATAATTCTTAATGTTCAACCAATATCAGATTTTTATATGCAGGGCTACTAGGCTCAATTCGTTAAAAGTCATAATTTGATTTCATGGCATATTGCAAACCTAATCGCAATTTATTTTTTGTGATAGCAGGATATCCCATTATTAATATTACTTCATATATACTTTCATTTTTATTTTGAGCTACCAATTATAGCAAATATACCAATTATATAGTATGATAAATAAAATTGCAGCCATAAAAATAACATTACTTTTACAAGTTAAATGTTAAAGAAGTGCATATTAAGAAAACAAGCAGTACTAAGCAGTATAAAGCAGTTGCAGGAGGCTTAAAACTAATGTTGCTCTAATCAAATGCCTGTGCATCCTACCTTTAGTCATGTTTTAAATCATGGCAAGGTGAGGGAACATATTGTTTAGTATTTATTAACTATTATTTTTATATGAGTAAGATTTTGAGTTGTTATGCTTATTATAAAAAGAAACCCATGTAAAATACAGCATGAATTTAGTTAGTTTGCCATGTTTGTCGGCTCTCTGCTTAAGTGCCCGCCAAAGTTCCATCGGATAACATAGCACAAACATCAAACTGTTAGCTACCATTAAAAGTAAAGGAACGGGCAAATACCACTAAACTGCGTTTTTCCATAACTCACTCGATATACGCTATGGAATCTAAATACGTTATGTCCTTTTTTAATATACCTTTTAATATTTATTGAATAATAACAGTTGCAACTATATGCGCGAGGGCGTTTGAGATGGCTGATCTCTGGTATTGGGATTTGGAGGTATAGGCTGGTCGCTTTCGCGGTTGTTTCCTGAAGATGGCATTTCATCTATAAACTCCTCCCTGTATCGAGTCCACTTGATAAGAGTTTCCGGGGATCTATAGAGAAATAGGAGTTTGGCATATAAGTCTTCTTCCAAGCGATACTCTTTGGTCTCCCGCACTAAGTAGATATCGTTACACAGCTGCAATATTCGGTCTACATACGGTAAATCCTCAAACATTAGTCGTCGATGATTGTTGGCTATCAGTGATCTTATTAGGCGGGACACAACGTACACACATGTTGTATACAGACCAATAATACTAAGAAAATAAATAAAAAATAAACACGAAGAAGAGGATTTAAATTCAGTTAGATTATCATTCATTTTGAATTTATAAAAAATATTCATTATCTGACTGACAGCCAGATCCTTAAAAGTATGCTCATAAGGATAATATGAAGAATAGACGATATAGAACTTACAGAATTGAAAAACATAAAGTTTGAAACAATGGTACTTACCCAGTTTTTTCTAGAAAACTCATAGTGGATGGGAACGATTTATCATTAAATATATAAAAAACTATACCATCTTTACAGTCACTAGATGGAAGGTTAGCAAGAATGTTTTTGTAGAACTTATCCGAGCAGTAGTCATGCATTTCCCACCAAACTTTACCTTCACCTTTTTTTTTCTTCAATATTATTGGCCTATAAAATTTACCTGTAAAAAATAATTTGTATGTATTTATGACAATAATTAAGATATCGGATTATGATATCAAATAACGATAAACTAGTACTGTGTACGGTAGACAAGAATTATATATATCGCAAAACTTGAGATTGCTGTTCAGAGCATAATGAAGTATTGAAATATAGGCTTAGAAAGCGAGTGAACTAAAATTAACATAAACGTTATAAAATACACAATTTTGTATACGTACCATCAAAATCTTTAATAAATCTAACAAATACCTTCATTTTTTGGACTGTAATGAATTTGGGTAATATGTCAGGCACAACAACGTCGTCTTTGCTATTGTCATCGGATATTGCTCTTATCAGCATTTCACGTGTCCTTTCTTTGTTCCTCATTAGGGTGTATGTTGTCTCATACAATACCGTTTCAGTCATGACGCCGCTATTGAAGGACAATTTTAAGCGGATATCCATTTCCTTGCCTAATCAAACATGTATTATAGTAAATCCTATTTAGTTACATACTCTTAGCTCACCTGATATTAGGTCATTCAGCAGCCGCTTCTTATCAGGTGGTGACATGTCCCACAACGTCACAGAGTTGGCGTCAAACTTTACGGACGTAATATCAACGGGATCATATATCATGATGTGATCAGTGGCCAGTATATCAAAATTGAAGTTTCTAAGTAGCTTTCTATAATTATGCTCCGAAAGCTGCTGGATACCGGAGTAACTTTGGGAAACATAAATTGGTTCATAGTGCCCAATTTTAACGGAAACATCTGCTCTGCGAGGAACATTCGGTTTTCCGACCGTGCCGACCAGAGCGAATAGAAATAACGGACTCCATATGAGAGTGATCAATATTAAAATTATTGTTCCGCCAATTAAACACTTGACATAGAATGCCTTAGGCTTTCCCCGTAAAACTGGAAAGTCCGCATCCATTTGCCTGTAGCAGCGCACAATAAATACAGATTGAAAAATATCTTCCATCTTGATCCACTCCATAACAGTAAGCGTAGTTTCGATGCACAGCCAGTCCAGCATTGTGCGTAAAATGTAGAGAAATGGGATTTCCATATATCTATAATGATTCATATTATTGATATATTATAAAATTAAAAAGCCTATTTTATTTATTTTATTCCTTTACACTTTAAACACCACATAGTTGACCATGGAAAAGCTCTTTGTGAAAACATTTCCCAAAATGCGCTTGGGATAACCGCAGCGCATCTGATAAGCTGAGAATATCATGTGCAAGCACTTGATCAGATAAAACACAGTTGGTGCCGTAGCTCCGAAACTGTGCGACGTAACATAGGGCACCAAAAAGAACATCCATATATGTATGCCGACAACCGTAACGAAATGGAACACAATTTTGATAACCAAAGCTTTGCGCAAGTATATTGCACGCTCCGCAACAATCGTTAAAAACTGCACCACGAGCATGAAGAGGAAGCTAAAGGGTACCTTGTTTCCTTGAATATACGTCTCCAACACACTGGTACTGTATTTGTGGCGATACTAAAATAAAACATATCATTATTGTATTACCTCAATATGCTGAGAAACATTTATACTTGGATAGTGAAAATTCAATATAACTGGATTGAATATCAGCATAAACAAGTAACAACGTTGCAGTCGGGCGTTACCGACTGCGGAATACTCATTCACATCCCATCAACAGTTTAGCAGTTAAGTTTCGCTCCACCCTGTGGGTGGACATATATCCGACAAAACTCTTTGGTCTTGAGTGATCAGCCCGAGTATATATACAAAATTTGAGGTCTCTAGCATCAATAATGTTCAAAATATAGAAGAAATTAAAAAATCACTACATCTTCAGGTCCGATTTGCCACGCCCCTAATGAGTAGAGATATGTCCGCCATAGCTCGTGATCTTGGGTGGTCGACGCGGACCCACATACCAAATTTCAGCTTTCTAGCTCTTTAACTGACATGATTTCTGGTATATCGGAAAATGCATTTTCCGATTTGCCACGCCCCTAGTGGGCGGATCGGGAACATTTTAACACTTTATAAATCGGAGATATACACGAGTATATGCTTCCAAATTTCTCTAGCTGTCATAGCGCCGAAATAGATTGCGTTCATACGGACAGACGGACAGACGGACGGACGGACAGCAAGACGGACATTGCACAAAACCAATATACTGATTAGCTTTCGTGAATGAGTATAAAAATGAAAAATCTAAGCCCGCCTTTGAGCTGCGTGTGCTGCCTTAACTTGACATATAAAATGATAAATGCCAGGACTACATAATAAATAATTTGTTTTGGTCCTACTAAACAATCAGGATACAGGATAGATATCAGGATATTCGCAAACTATATTTTGATTTGTTTACGGAAAATTTATTACCCAGGCGAATGTTATATGATAATTCAAAATTATCAGACTTACCACAAACTTAGGGAATCCAAATAACAAAACGAAAAAGTTTATAAAGTCGCATAAGAACAGCAATGTATACACATCGGTCGACAGGCGCGCCTTGTGGAGTAAAGCGAGAAAGAATTCCTTTATTTGAGATATAAATCCACCTTTGTACCTGTGGGTAGTAAGCCGTTTAAAACGTTGATTATCTGTACTTGTAAAATCATTAATAAATTTATATGACAATTTTTATTCGGTTAAATTAATGTTAAGCTTTTCAGTGTATTACTTACTCAAAGTTTTTCATGCCATTGCGATAATACTCAGATTCAATGTTTCGGTAAACATATTTATTTTCGTTGCCAGGTCGTAATAAGTCGTTTATATCACGTTCTAGTTCGGCTGTATTCGCACTATCGGTAGAATTGTTTCGTTGTTCACTGCCAGACTCTTCCCTAAATATACATATATATTTAAAAATCAATCATGGTATATCATCATAAATAATTAAAATGAAATACCTCAGTTTCCTCAGTATATCAGTTGGTCGTTCTCTGACAAAAGTTTTGCTAACTAGCGATTTTATTTGAGATATCAATTGAAAGTCAATATATATTTCACATTGCACTTACCTTTGGTGGTTAACTCCGTTTCGGATCGGGGCATATTCCAAATTCCCTGCTTCTTCAGCATGTATCGATGCCAGAAAAGCACAACCAATAGCAAAAGGTCATAGATAGCCTTGCCGTGCTTTGAGAACAGCTCAAAATCAGTTGTCTTGGCCATTTGGACAAGCTTCGGGTCAAGGACAATTTTCTGATGCATTATGCACTTGAAAAAGATCATTGCCAGCGTGTAAGTTATGAGAGTGACCCAGAAAGTCTTTGTGGGACGAGGCAGTGTGAGCGCACCCCAGTAAAGAACGAGGAATGGCATCGGCAGTGAAATTATTGAGGAATTTGCAGCTTGATTCACGCACACGGCCAGATAGCAAACCACCTCTGTATTGGCAATAATCGCATACCAAAAGGAAATCAACAATTGCACGCAATAATTGTGATCCAGGGAAGTGAAATTATCGCTCTTTGCTCTGAGACGAAACCTCGATTCTCTTACTGGAGAGTTGATTGCGGTCAACTGCCTACTACAAAATAAAGGCAAGGTTATTTCTGATATCCTTTATAATACAATAATAAACTTGAATAATACTTACTCGTAGAGGGATTGATTTAAGAAGCTAAACATTGCTGCAGTATTGACCAGTCCAAGCCGATTCATTGTACTAATGTCCTGCAAAGTCTTCTTCTCGGCCGAAAGAACTTTATGGACGAATCGATAGTTTCGGGATAACCGGTTCAGCCGAAACGTCAGGAGCAGGATAAGATCAGTCATAAGTTTCGCCACAGGATTTCTGCCAAACTCAATCTCTGTGTCCGAGCTATACTTGTTGCCTTGTGGTGTTGTGTGTTCCTTTTTTTTCCTATACTATGAGGGCAAAACTTTTCAGTATTTAAGCCAAATTCAAATGAGAGCAATTATACAGATAAAAGGTATTCACGTGCGCGCCTATCCTGTTTCTCTAGAAAATCATACTCTTCATACAGCACTGGATCATCAATATCATTTTGTTCCTCAAACATGTAGTAGTCTCCAGTTCGCACAGCATGAGGATGAAGGCGCAAGTCCCGCAGCTTCGTCGGTGTTGGTTGGGTCGCTTGTTGGGAAGACCATATACTATTCATATCGTCCACAGAAGTTAAGTGCTCCTTAGAAATAAACTGCTCTCGCGGATGGATTTCCGGATGCTGTGTTACCGCATGTGTCTCTATAAATATGATTAGCCCAATTAGCTTTATTACTAAATTGAACTGATTATCTTTAGACTTACTTCCCCTTTTATATGATTTTCTATTGCTAGCCCTGATTAATTCCATCTTCACCTTTACTCTTTCAAGCACGTTCTTTTCGTACTCTCGTCGATCATAGATTTGCTTATAATGCAAATTTTCAATAATGATGGCACCACTATAAATATATTTTGTAATAGGTTAAGTTTTATTTATTGATTCGAAATATCCAATTATATACGTCTAAATTTTTTGCCTAGAAGACTAGGCAAATCAGAAAAACTATTGACTACACAGTAAAAATCTGAATTAATAATTATGAACCCCATTAGATTTCGCACAGCATTAAAGCTAGGAGTTTGAAATTGAAATTAAATTAGTATTGATTTTGCTGAAACTTTAACTATTTTTAGAAAGTGAATTAGTGTAATACCCAACTTGTTTCAATGTTGTTTAAGAACAACATATCTTTCTAAGACCTCTCCTTTTAGTGACACATAACTTACCGAGAGGCTAAAACTGTATTGGCTTGAGTATCCATTACGATGTGACAGAAATAGTAGGATCCAAATATACGATATTGGCAGATGAGAAAAGCAAAAATGATCGCATGCCAGACCAGATGGTTCTTAAAGATGAAGCTGCTTGGACCATAATAGTAACTGTCGAAGTTTTGAGTTTGGTTGTACTTTTCATGACGCGGTAAATTAGTATCATACTGCATGACTGCAAACAAACTCTGATAGTCTTTTTTATCTTTGATATCCATCATATTTCCAAGTACAATTATGCAGACTTTGATAACTATGTTGAATACATTGAACGCAATGAGAAAGCTCCAGCGACAGGAGATGTCGTAAATATTTTGCAAGTACACTTCCGACCCTTTCAGCATAAATACCAAGGCAAAAATCAAATAGCCTAATGATAGCATATCCATGCTGCACACACCGCCCATAAATATGACGGCAAGCGTGATCCAGAGGAAGCTGCAGAATATAATGGTCTTAAATACATCTGAATAGTTGCGAACGAACGAACAAAAGTCATGCGTTGGATTCCTGAAGTAAACGTGTCCCAGCTTAGCAATATTGTGAATAATATTCTTATTATCTCCGCCGGGATAAGATATGTTGTCTTGACGAATTTCTATTTTGAATGCCTTTCTCTGGCGGGAAATCAACATAAGTACAACAAAATCTAAGAAAAGTTTCGATTTGATTGGAGTGTCCAAAAGTTGATCGAAATTTGGATTACTCCACTCCTTCGAATTCGTCATTTTTACTGATGAATCTGAAATAATTCGTATTAATCGAGCCTCAGGCGATATTACATTTCTATCGTACCTTTGCAGAGATTTGGTGGATAGTGTATCAGATACAAATACTGCACAAAGATCGAAAGAATAAAATAGAGCTGGAAAATATACCAAATGCGAGCGCACTGTAAACGCGTCAGACACAGTAGAATTAGAAGCCAAAGGATATATGTCACCGAAAGCAAGTCACATCGATGGACTATGGTCGAGACTAGGCCAATTAACGTGATTTCCAACCCAAACTTAAAGTATCCATAGTTACAAAGATACTTTATAAGCCCGGGAAAATTGTTTTCAGCATCTTGCCGAGTTATCCCAGGGAAAAGAACTGTGTGATCTGTAATCACACCCATCGAGAGTCGTAGTAAATGATCCCGCAATTTGACTACGGCATGCATTGTAGTCACGACCATATAGACGGTATACGGTGCTATATAACGCAATAGCGAGCCCCAAACCTGTTCAGTTTTTCGCAGACCAATCCAATCGGCAAAATTAATTGTTTGGTTTTGCTGAGAATGAGAATTATGGATTAGTTAAATTTTAATTTTCAAATGGATAGTATAGACACGCAAATCTTACACATAAATAATCGTATTTCGAGTGGTCCAAATATTTTATTTGATAGATCATCTTCATCAGAATTAAAACCGAGATCCAAAATGTCACAATGCGAAAGATCGCGCGCCGAAACAACGGACTTACGCCCACGCTCATAAGTGATAGCACAACTAAAAATAGGTTGAAGCAGCAAATCTCTGAAATGGCACAAGTAAAAGTTGTCAATATAACTGCCTTAATCATGTGGATCTCAAGGAAGCGCCATGCAACTGATTTGCAGGGACGGAACCATCGACGAATCTTGAGACGTATTCGCCCGTACATAAGCTTCCATTTTGATAACCTGCGGGACACGTTGCTAGACTGATGATGGCTGCGATATATGCTAAACTGCGCTCGAGAGCTTCGAGTTGAGTCATCGATTGGCTTTGGTTGACGTAACGACTCTATAAAACGCCCGTGAAAATAATGCAGTTGAACGACCGTAAAAATAACTGTCAATGTTGGGACAAGCAAATGTAAAAAGAGATCCTTTGTGCGATAACGACGCAGGCCTATATCATTTTGCCTAAGTGCGACATATATTGCATAAGATATTGGCGTAACAGCGATAACTTTGCTGGGACTTACAAGTTAGGCTGAACATTCAGATATGTCTCCCAATAGTGGTCAAAATAGTCGAACTGATAGGTGTATATAATAGTTAGTATAGTCATCGCATAGAATATCACAAACATCCAATATCCGTATAAGAACTTTATCCACAGCTGCAAGGACATCTGAAAGACCATAAGAAACAGGAGGAATAGTGACATGTAGCAGATGCGGAACCCAGTCATGACTTGATCGATCATGGCACAAAGAAATATTAATATTATCAACAGCCACATCCAGATGCGTGTCACAAAATTCGAAACACTTTCGAAAATGAATATGATTGCTCGCGGAGCCCTTGACTTTTCGAATAATGTGTGATCGGAGTGCGAGTGTCGCGGTCCAAACACATATTGTAAAATGTCATTTTCGACTTTATCCTCAGCCTTCTCTTTAAAGTATTGGTGCGATGTTATCCAGAATATAAATAGAAAACATGTCTTCACGCTCAACGGAACACACGGTTGAACTCCGCTATCTCGCGGATGAACACATCCAATTTGAACAAGATTCAATCCGTAAATCTAGGGAGAGTATGGAGAGTATTGGAAAACTAAATATATTCAAAATACATAATAAAAAATACTACTACATTTTTATATAAATAAATATAATATAATAGATTCCGTAGAGAAAAAATACGAAATCAGGATAAAGACAATATTTAAAGATAAAGATAATATTTAAATACACTACCTTTGTGGGTAGCTCTGTTTCATATATATTCATGCCATATATATATTGTGAAATAATTAGAAATTCAGCATACAGCACAACAAAGAAACTGGAGCGCATCATGGATCGACGCTGGTTGGGTATCATCCACAAGATATTTGCCCAAATGAGTAAGACGAAAGTCAACCAGCTATGATAAATAATTGACCAGATCTGAAAATACACAGAAACGCAAATAATTGTTACAATTGAAAGGTTGGAAGAAATCAAGGAATGTATTTATATAGTAGAGTAGTTCTGGTTATGAGTAGAAAAATATAAATAATATCGTTATACTTGCCATCATAATTATGTTGAGCAGTATATAGCTATTCTTGTATATGAAAGTCGTCAGATCACAAATCAAATAAAAGAACTGTTCCAGAGTGGACGGCTTTGGACCAGGTGTTCCAGCCTCACTTGAGCCGGATTGTCGGTATATTGAAGATGTATGATTCTCGTGTTTTGATGTAATTTTCCTTCGCATTATGTTGAAAAATAGTTTGCTTCGTTCATGATGTATAATGTTAATTAAGAGAACAAAGTATGCCCACATTAAAGCAATTATACACATATATGAATCGAAATGCAGCTTATTATTTAGTTTTAATACTAGGCCATTCTCATCTTGATGAGACATCACGAATAGAGCTTCGTAGCCCATTACTCTGAAATTAATAGATCACTTACCAGTTAGATACCTCTTTATGCCAAATCGTTCAACTCACCGCGTCCATACTGATTCGCCATCCCAGTATTTCTGTATGATTGGCAACTGATACAACACAAAACCAATGATTTGCAAAAATAGCAATATGGCAACGACGATCAGTATATTCTGCAAACTGTTGTGAAACATGGAACTTTAGCAAAACACATATCAAAACAAGAAAACTCTAATCAAGACTATTCAGATACGAGAACCGCTAAACCCTTCGAAGAGCAGATATTACAATATGTCTATCTTTGAAGATGTAAGAGACATACTTGTATAACAGATTTTTGATATAGTTTCTAATCAATTAATTGAAATGATAAATTAAACAAACTCAATCTATATGGCCCTACAAAAAATTTAAGGTATCTAGCTCTCATAAGTTATGACAGACGGACAGATCTAAATCGATATAATATATATATATATCTTGGTAAGCTCGTAAATAGTTTGCAAATTAACTTTACTTTTAAAATATCGTTAACGTTAGTAGTTAGAGATTTTCTTTTAAAGGAGTAAGAGTAGCAAAATAGTAACTAAAGTAGATATCAGTTGACTTATATCTGTATAAATACCAATATAATTTTTTATAGATAGCCCAATATGTGCCAGCTATAAGAAATAACATGAAATATATGCTGCCAGGCAACGATGGCCTTAAGATAGCAGCTCCATAGAGTACAAGAAGTGTGAAAACTGGAGCTGGAAAAAGATATAGAAAGATAAAGTTCGTTTCAGTGGAACTATATATGTATGTAGATATACAATAATACCTACATGTTTTTACCACAGATCGAATGTAGGCAACTATAAGAATACGATTCATGTCTGAATAGCGCAAGCTTGACACATCTCTATATTCGTCATCATCTTCATCTTGGGATGAAGCTTTTTCTTTCTTTTTAAACAATTTGGTTAATACCAGTATTATCAACGCTGTAATAAAAATTAGTATATCTGGTACAATCCAATGGAATACTGCAATAGCCCTGTAAATTGAGAAGTTTGTTAATGCTTTTTCATGTTTCCCATCAAATATTACTTACTGCAGTCCAGCGAATCGCACGAATCCAATTTGAAGTAGAATATATGTGAGTGGACTTTCTGGCGTCAAATAGGGAATGAATACATTGAAAAAATTTACTACTACATGGCTAATGGCAAATATAGCACTAGTTATACAATAAAACAAAAGAAATTTTTTCAATATTTTTTGCTGAGACGAGCTTTGAGTTTGCAATAGCCACGGTGATGTGAAGAACATAAGCAGATAAATCAACGAAAAGGCGATTGGCCGTGATAACGTAGCTGAATGAATCAAGGTTATTCTATGACTATATCTACAATATACACATATGTATATTTCTTACCGAATATTAATGTCGATGGAAGAAATAAACGTAATAAAATGAACAGTACTACTTCCGGCATTTTAATAAATTTGCAAGTACAATAATTATTTACAACTTAATATAATATACATATAAAAATTGAGAATGACTATAAACCACTGACATGGGTGTAGAAGATTACTGTGATATTTTCTTATTTGAACGTACTGGAGATCAAACAAAGCTTTCTATCGAATTATTCCAATTATTATACTAGTAAACAGATTTCTTTCTAAATAGTACTTTTATATAATTTTGGATTTCCTCCATGTTATTAGCTGATAATCAATTCACAGAATTCAAATCAAGGAACAACCATAATACTAATTCAGAAGCAACTTAATGTCTGAAAATGTAAAAGCCCGTGTGCTTTCCTTCTTAGCTTACGTGTTTTGTATGACTTGGCTAATCAATTGGATGAAAGAATAAATCATCAAATTGCTTAGTCATTGCCTGATGACTTGCCTGTTTGTTCCAGTTATAGATCAGTAGTTTATGTTGGTATTTTAGGGTGTAATCCACACCATTTTACATGACAAATTATTTTTTATTTTAAACTTGTTTTAGCGCGCCTTCTCTAGATATGTGTTTTTATATATCGACTACTAATCTATATCGATAGTTGTACGGAGCTAATAAAATTTCTTGTAAATTGTCAAGATAGCACACATATTTTAAAAGATTAAAATTTTTAATTAATATAATCATTTGCTCTATAATTCGAAAAATATCGCATTGTTTATTTTAAGCCACATTTCCTATACTTAAATTTTATCTATTATTGAAAATCAATATTAAATTTTTGTAAATGAAATAATCTGGAGTAGGACCCACAGGATTTTTGCGTTTTTTATTTTTAATTTCTCCAATTAATTTTCCTTGAATTATATACATATATATATGCGCTACAACACTATGGTTAGTTAGTTAGTTATGGTTAATCAAAAAACAAAAATCTAGAGAAATCAAATGTACCTATGATTCTAAACGCTACTAGTGAAAACATTGTATTAATATCGATGTTTTGCAAAGCATTACATATTCGCCGGTATCATCACTAAAACATAATAATACAACTATCATTTTCATATGTTTACGTTTTTAGTAAATGTGAAATATTTTCAAAATGAGTTTACCGCCTATGTTGTTACAGCGACTTAAGTCACGAGGATTGGTTAATGCAAAAAACGGTAAGTTGAATATTATGTTTACTATCAGAATTCCACAGGCATTGCATTATCATCGTACACTAGGACAAACCCATTATTTTATTCGATAATGAATTCTATTTCTTTATTTTTCACAATCTTTCCGTCAATTGACTAAAAGTCCACAAATATACACATAAACAAAAAATATATTTTAGCCTTCTTGGGGAAAATATAAATGTACCTTAATGAAAATGAATTTGAAGTTCTACTAAGATCTAAACTGCTTATGATAATATACATATTAGATATATCTTATACTGAATTACCTCATTTATTTTCAGAACAAAAACAAATACCCGAGGCAATAGAAGAAATTATCGCTGAAAATTATGACGAGGATGACAAGAACCCTCCATCGGACTATAACGAACTCAAGACACCTCCTTCTAAATTCACGTCAGCTAATGAAAATCTATGGCCAGAAAGGATAAAAGAACGCATAGGAGTCACAGAGTCATACCATGGATTTAAATATTGCCCCAACACCTACAACATATGGCACACCTGCACTTTATACTGTGTTAACAAATGGGCGAACGTAAGGCCGAAGCCAAAGGAAGGGTATCTTCGTCGCTATAAGAGATTACTTCGAAAATATCCACTTCCTGCAGATTGGACAGAGATCTTTGACAGTGGCTGTGGCTTTTATTATTTTTACAACTCCATGACTCGAAAAGTATCTTGGTTACCGCCAACGCATCCGAACGCTCGTGTTACGAACAGTGCAGCCATGTTTAGAAAACAATTAGCTAATTCCAACGATGATTTTAATTTCGACACAAAAGATTTGACTAACAACGACGCTGAAATCGGTACTCAATCTGCATCTTATTGCCCAACAAAAAAGCAAAAAAAGCGCGATTTAGAACGAACCCTCTTACGAAAGCATAGGACCTGAAATACTTGCCTATGCCTAAATAAACGAATAATTGAACAACTTGTCCTAAGATAAATTAAAAAAATAAATTATTAAACATGCCAATTAAGCAGATTGTTAGTGTTGTTATTGTAATAGAAAATATAACCATTATCAATTTTGAATTTAAGATATAGGTTAACTAGTCTTTGAATGAAAAATCAATATTTGTGAGGAAACTTTATGGCAAATTTCTCTAAAATATGGTATGCAGCTCTAAAATTTACCTCGCCCGCTATAAGCGAATTACAAAGAGAGATGACCAGCAATATTTTAGTATATACGTAAGATAATGCCTTTTACTATTCGGCGTGCCCAAGAGGTATACAATTTTCTCAGTCCCAAAAAAAATGAATACGCCTTAGTTGAAGTCGAGGATCCACTTTTTAATTGATTTCCAATTACGACCTGATGAAATGGAAATAAGTAAGCTTGGCCTTTGATCTGCTTGCAAGACTTAAGCTTCAGTCTAAAACAAAATGCCTCTTTTAACTAGCTTTCCTTGGCATATAGCACAAATACACAGAAAGGTTTTTTATATCCTAAGCCGTTTTTTTTTTTTTTTTTTTTTTTTTAATAATGTAATAATTTATATAACAGGCAGAAGGAAGCGTTGAAGACCCCATAAAGTATATACAATATATTCTTAATTAGTGTGACGATCTGTGACGTTTTAGCCTTGTCAGTCCGTATGTATGAACAAGTCCATTTCACAAGCTATAAGAGTTAAGTTTTAAGTCCGTATATGTATACCACGCGCAGATCAAGTTTATTTCTAAAACTCGATAGCTACACCTATTATAATTAATATGTATATCTCCTATATCCTTGGGTGTATTTTATGGACTTTCCTCCAAGTTTTTATACCCTGAACAAATTGAAAATGGGAAATCAGGGTACAATGGTTTTGTTAAAATGAAGGACGGGTGGTCAACCCCATTTTTAAATGCTCGTATATATAGCGTGGATAACGATTTCATTTCAAAAATCGTTAACTTGTCCCGTTATTTTTTTATCGATTAAAATAATATCGAAAATCAGTTATCAAATTACATCTCCTACATCTTTAAACTAGAGTCTCAAAATTTCAAATGTAGACTTATATTTATTTTATAGAGTTTCGATTTTTATTTTAATTTACCCCCACCATTATATCCATCCCTACATCCCTAAATTTGTAAAAGGCGTATTTCAAATACTAACAAATTAAGTTCTTGCAGTAAGCCCACCCAGCAACCCATGCGTGTTTATGCGTACGTGCGTGTGTGTCTGTGTGTGTGTTTCTTATGTAAGCAGATCTGAAATATCAGTTCCTCGAAAGGGTTCAGGGGATCTCGTCGTCGAGCCATCACGACTAGAGCTTTCTTACGTGTTTTCTAAGTGTTTCATCTTCCAAATATTTAATCAAAGTGTTTCCATTAAGTATTTGCTCCAATTTTTCTCAAAGTATTTCTTCATACCATGGCATCTAAGTATTTCCTCCAAATATCTCCTCCAAGTCTTTAATGCTTAGCTAAACGATCACACATTTCACTTAACTTTGCTGCACTGCACGACTGACTCCGATCAGGCCTGGCCGACTGAAGAAATGCTGCCGCTGTTGCCTTTTATATAGGTCTACTTTCACTCAAAGCCTAAGGTGCGCTCAAATATTGAGCCTGGCGCCAGGTAGGGGCCGTTGCAGTCGAGCATTAAGTGACCAATGGGAACACTTTCTGCTGCTGCAATCATTCTAGCTCCGGTTTAATCAAATATTGCTTACATATAGACAACATAGATGCTCTTCTGTAGTTATTTTTCGTCCCTTGCTTATCTTACGCAGACAGACAGTGAGACACATTGTGGGATAGGCAAGGAGGCCTACACGGATATATCACGCATAGTCTGATGATAGACACGCGATTGTCTTGCGATCGATAAATATTGTGGTTGATTGTGAACTAACTAAAACTACTTGAAGATAAGATCGAGTAGGTGACGCCGTTCTAGCCGGTGCTTTTGTTATTCTCGATAAAGGGTAGATTGGCAAGTGATTTTTACATTTTTCAATGTAGTTAGTTATTGAATTCTTCACAAGCTTATCATTGTGCGTCCTCTAGTCCTTTCATTAGTTTATACACGCAGTCTCATTTGTCATAGTTTTCTGCAAGTGTGTGTCGTAATTTCAAATTTGGCTTAGATTTTGTAGCATCAGCAGTCAGCAGTCCCCTGAGACCAGTCAATAAGTTTTGAGCTCAATCCACTATGCATATTGGATATGCTTAAAGTTATCGATAACTTTAATCGCACCGATCAAGGTCTAGTCTCGAGTACTTGCGACAAATAAAAAATTTTGACATTTCCATTTTTTTTGTAACAAACTACGCTTAAAAAGCAAAAGCAAGCTATCGAATTTGGTCGATAATACTGAAATGGTATGAGCTATCGAAAGAAAGACAAGCTCAGAATAACTACGTATCTATAGAAATATGATAAATTTGTTTAAAATTTGAAGTCGAACTTTTGTGGCTTATAAAATCAAAATATATATTCTTACTATTGAGTCTATATCATGGATAGATTCAAAATCATCTTTTAAACCGATTATTACATTATAATGTTGATCATTAAAATTATGGAATACCCTAAATAATAAATATATTCGGAAAAATGATAGCAAATTATTATTATCATTATTAATACGGATATTAATATTTTTAAATATTTATTTAGGTAAACTTGGATACGATAAAACAAAAATATATTTTAAAACAAACACTAAGATCCCTGGTTGTATGTATTATTTTAGGCAGTTTGTACTCTACATTCCCATATTAGGCGAGTTGACGGCGCGCGACAATATTTACATTTGTAAATTGTAACTAAATATAATAATAATCAGAATTAAAGTCTAAGAAATAATCCTAATGTACAGTTAGGAAATATGTTTACTCGATTATAAAGATGAATATATTATGTTGCATAGTGATATTAATGGTGACTTTTGACAAAAGTGTCACATGTTTCGAGCAGTTAGCGAGAC